CTTATGACCTGCGATGCCCAGCCAGCTTTGGATACTGAAGAGTCCAACGCATTGGCTGAGTTAACAGGGCTGGAAGGGATCTTAGAGGTCTTCTAGTCCAACCCCCTACTCAAGGAGACCCTGAGGGAAACGCCATCCAAAACAACGGGGCGGGGGGTAGAGTGAGGGGAGATGATGAGGGAAGGACGGTAGAATTTACGTTCTCAGCTGAATCGAGAGACAATTCAACTTCGCTGCGATTTTGACCTGAAGGATCTCTGGCTCCGTTCCCCATTTAGTGTCCCTCCTGCACAAGACGCCTTTTGCCCACGTCGCCCTCCTTGGAAGTTGATGCTTCCCCAGCTGCAGAGGAAGGAAAAAGGATTTGCCCCTTTTTCTCACCTCCGTACGAGAGGAAAGTTTTAGGGACCACTTGGTATTGGGAGTCCAGCCCCGTCCTTTAACCTTCATTCTCTCCCCATTTCCTCTCTTGCCTACAGGCCTTCCCCTGTATTTCCACCGGGGTGTTTGGTAAGTACCAAGGCAGGGGAGAGGGAAGGCTGGGCAGGACACCTGCCCAGGTATTCGGCCACTTCCAATGTTCCTTCACAGGCTACCCGAACGACGATGCTGCGGAGGTTGTCCTCAACACATTACACAACTGGCTAGAAGACAACAAGGACAAGGTATACGGGCGGGCCGAGGCCTCTTGGCAGGAGCTGGATAAAGCCGCGGTTTGGCTCTGCCTGGCGTCTCTTTCTGACCAAGCACACAATATTAGCTTCTCAGCCAACAGCTGGTCTTTTGCTTGCATGGGGGTTGTGTATACTGTAGGATAGGGGAAAAAATCTCTTTTAAAGGGGTTATTAGAAAACCCATGCAAAGAATTTGGAGTGGTGCTCTCCACTTATAGCCCTCTACTTAATATCTGTTCGTTAAGTGACAAAAGTTGAAGAGCCATGACTTACCTGTGTTAGAAATCCCTTCAACCCGGATGCTGATTTGAGATAAGGGTATCTTTAAACTTGGATTGGGCCAGGTGCAAGCAGTGTGTGAAGGCGGGCCCCGCACATTTCCAAAGTGCCGTCCTGACCTCCCCCCCCCCCCCCAGCTTCCTCCTCCTGCTAACCGTGGTTATATCTTGGCCAGGTCGAGCGGCTGATCGTCTGTGTTTTCCTGGAAAAGGACGACGAAATTTATAAGGAGAAGCTGCCCAAGTATTTTCCCATCGGTGAGTCACTGCTCGGGGCCTCTGTCTAGGTCAGTGATTCTCCAACCCTGGCCCACTTTAAGACGCGTGGACTTCAACTCCCAGAATTCCCCAGCCAGCAACGAATTCTGGGACTTGAAATCCACGCGTCTTAAAAGTGGGCCTGGATTGAGAAACCGTGATTTATCTAGGTGGTGAAAGGACAATGAGGGGCTTTCTGGGAGCCTTCCTCACCCTTCCTCTCATTTCCAGCCTGACCCCCCGCGTCCCATGCGCCGAAGGCGGTAAGCATTTCCCAGCACGGTGTGCGAAAGTGCAGTCGTGGGGAAACGCATGCTGTGGCTTGAGCCTAACAGTGTCTTAGCCTGGTTTTCTCTGCCCACTAAAACTGGGTGTTTCCTCTGCTCCGAGTTGGGAAGATACGCGGAGGGCCCACGGAGGGATCTCCCGGCCTGCGCACATATTCAACCGTATTCGTTTAGCGACTGAAGCTACGAGGCTGAGAAAAAGGGACGTACAACTGGTCCTCACGCTTACGACCATCACGTGATCAAAATTTGGATGCCTGACAAACCGGCGTGTGTATATTTGGACACACACGCCACAATGCAACCGTAGTGTATTTACAATGGTTGTCACGGGCTCGTGAGCGACATTCGGCAATTGGTTCGTATTTACGACAGGTTGTGGTGTCCCAGGGTCACTGTGATCTCCCCCCGCCCCGCTTTTGTGACCTCATGACAAGCAAAGTCAATGGAGGAAGCCAGATTTGCTTAACGACCGCATGATTCCCTTAACGGCTGCAGTGATTTCCTTAACATGCCCCCCCCTCAAAAAAAAGTTCGCAAAATTGGGCATGGCTCAATTGAACGACCGCCTTGCTTAACAATGGACCCGGATGTGGTTGTAAGTCGAGGCCACGCAAAGTGATACAAAAGGAAAATTGTGTGTCTTTTCTCCTTTTATGCACAACCAAGTGACAAGAGAGAAATTCTGTAGGAGCAGAATAAAACTCCCCGCAGTTTTCGGTCACCGTTCTGGCCTCTTCTCTTTTTATGAAAGTTGCCGCGGTGTTTTAGCCTTTCTGGGTTGGACCTGCATGAAGAATGCAGAATTTCCCCCCCCCCCCGCTGCTTTCACCCTTCACACCAACAAAGCCACAGAGCCAGGCCGTCCCGTCCGACTTGCGTTAGATTCAGAAGGGTTCAGCCCCCAGCAGGGACGGTTAAAAGAACGGGAAGGAATAAACCAGGATATGGCTCCTAAAGGGCGTAACGTTCCCACGTTTGGGTAAAGTCACAGGCCTGGAATCATCCCCACGAAGTCAGAAGAGAAAGCAATTTTAAGAGGAGGAGGAGGAGGATCAACAGTGGATCATGTTTTTCTCTGCACTAGGCAAACGCAGGTCAAGCTTAAAACAGATTTTAGGTTTATTTACTCCTGTGCCCGCTGCCCGCTTCACTGTGAAAACGTTTGACCCACTGTCCTTTTCTCCATCGCTGAAGTCAGGACTTGCCCGCCTCCCCCCTGAAGGTGCCACAACTGACCCACGGTGGTTTTTTTGGCACCCGGGGCTCACCCGGGGCAGGTGCTTTGTCGGAAAACGGGACGCTTACCCGAAATCCTCCTTTTTCCCAGCAGATGCCGGTGAGGAACCTCCGTCCTCAAAGCTCTGAAGTGGCTCCCTGCAAATCCCGCGGCCTCCCTGCAGACGGAGACGCCGGATCTTTTCCAAGCTAGGAGAAAACAGCCCCCCCCCCTCTTCTTCTTCTTCCCCAGGCGCGATCGGGCGCAATGCCGGAATAAAAATGAAAAGAGGATCCAGTCGTGTCGCTGGTAAAAGCCCGGTGGGTGGATGGGGGCGAGTGAGTAGCAGCGGGACTGGGGTCCTGTGTGAAACACCCACATACACAGTACTTACACACACACACACACACACACACAGAATTACACCCGCCTACCTACTTGACCCCCCCGCCTCCCGGCCTATCCCGGCTAGACTTAAAGCGACGGAGAGTTTCGGGCCGCTCCTTTTGGCAGACCACTGTGCTGTCCTTGGCAATTTTCTGCGAAAGAGGCTAAAACCAGGGGGAAAAAGAAGCCGGCCCTCGTTCTGCGCCTCCGCAGAGAAACCGGGACGAAAGACCCGAAGCCGAGACTTTCCTGCTCGCTTTGGCACGGTGGCAAAAAAAAAAACAAAAAAAACAGGGCAGTGGCTTGCTAGATGCCGCCGGCCAGCGGCCAAGGGACGGCCCTGGGGGCACGATGCAAAACCCTCCCCCTCCCCCAGCTGCCCAGGGGATGGCTCAACCGCAGACAAGCTGCCGTTACCTCTGAGCTCAGCTGCTTCAAGGGGGGGGGGGGAAGGCCCGGTTCTCACTTCTGGGGGAACGGAAAAGCCATTTTGTAAAATAATGCAACGTTCAAGAAGGCTTGTCCCCCGACACCAGCAGCTCTTGGGGGGGGGGGGGGGGGGGGAGGGGGGGGGAAAGAGGGCAGGGGGGGATTATGAGGAGGACCTGAAAAACTAGCAGGGAAAGTCTGTCTGTCTGTCTGTCTGTCTGTGTGTGTGTGTGTGTGTGTGTTAGGGAGCAAAATGGCACCGTCCGGCGGGGGCCTCAGGCAGAGCAAACCACGGAGGGGGGGGCAGCTCCAGGGGAGCGCTTTTTTCCTTCCTCTCCTCCCGAGAGGCTGGCAAGTCACCTCCCACCACGCTGTGGTTTTCCTGCGCTCCACACAAGCACGACCTGACCGGCACACAACGTGCGAACGCACAAACTGTTGAGCGGCACACACGAGCCCCCTCAAGAGGAGGGGTCCCTGGCCAAGGGGGGAGAAAAATGTCACCAAATGGACTTTTTCTACCCGGCTGCAGCCTTGTGCGGTGCAGTTTGGGGGTGGGGGTGGGGGGGTTCCTGCCTTGCCAAAGAGCTTCGGTGGGCCAGCCCCCACCTCCAGCTGAGCCGCCGTTCCCAGATCACAACGTTAGCCCATCTCGGCTTCCAGGCCCCAAAAAAAGCCCCTCAGGGTGCAGGAAGTCCTCAACCTACGGCCACAGTTGAGCCCGGAATTTCTCTCGCTAAGAGAGGACGTCCGAGTTTCGCCTTTCTTTTCACGACCTTCCTTGCCAGAGTTGTTAACCGAAAATACGAACCAGTGACCGAGCCTCAGAACGTCGATCGGGTGACCAGGGGAGACTGCAACGGTCGTCCATGTGAAAAATGGCCCCTTTTTCCAGGGCTGTTGTAACTTCAAACGGTCGCTAAACGAATTTTTTATAAGCCGAGGACTCCCTGTAGATGACAGCCTTACATTTAAAAGGGGGGGGGAAAAGCCCCAAAAGGGATCGGAATTAAATTCAGGGAACTCCCCGATGAGGAAGTGAGTGACCTCTACGGAAGGGACAACCAGCCGGTCTCCTCCTGAAAGACGGAAGCCACATCCAGAGCTGCCCTGCCCATTTCCCTGCTAAAAATGGTTATTTCCTCCCAAACTTGAGGACTAGGATCTTGCGGGGTGCGGCCTGCCGATTCTGCATATTTTTTTTTTAAAAAAAGAAAGATTGCGGGCTTGTGTGCCCTTCGGGGTCTCCAACCGTGGCAACTTTTAAGGACTTTTATGGACTTCCAAGTTGAATCCCTCATCAGCCGGATCGTCTTTTCAAGTTGGCAGTCGTCCCCCCCCTCCGGTCTTAAAGTGGCCACGGTTGGAGACCCCCCCGCCCTAAGGGGCCCGTGCGCCCTCCTCCGTCGTGGGCTGGGGGCTCCCTCTCCCAGAAACACTAGAGAGAAGCGGGGGGAAAGAAAGGTGGTCTCACCAGCCTCCCCTTTAATAAAACACAGAAGAAGAGCGTAGCAACAAAAGCAGGGAAAAATATATAATAATAAACAAACCAAGTGAGCGAGACGGGCAGCAGGAACGATCACCATTTACAAGCACAGACGAGGCTGCCCGGCGAGAGGGATGGGGGGTGGGTGGGTGGGAAAAACACGGGTGGGGGGCGGGGGGGGGGACATCAGCAGGGGGGGGGGGGGGGGGGGGGGGGGATGGAGGGGGAGAGGGGGGGTGGGTGGGCTGACTGACCAGCCACCTGCCTCGCTCCTACCCCCCCCCCGTCTATTTATACAGGATGTCGTAGTGTCCCGGTCTGTAGAGTAGATACACTTTGGGCTCGGAGCCTTCGGGGAAGACGTGGGGGTTGGTGGCCCCGCCCTCGCCCCGATCCATGTACTCCACCAGGATGGAGACGTTGAGGGCCTGAGCCAGGGCGATGATGTGGATGTGGTCGCTCTCCTTGCACATGGGCTCCACCTCCTGGAAGAGACGGGGAGGGCGGGCCGGGAAGAGAAGCCCAAGCGATGGCGTCCGTTTAGACAGAAAAGAGCGAAGACCGCCTTCCAGGACCGCCCCTTTTCTCTCAGAAAGCGTTAAAATTGGCAAACTCTTGTGGTCAATTCCGGATCTGACATGACTCAAGAATTACACCACGGAAATTAGAAACAGCCCCCAAAAGTCACATCCTCCCATAGAAGCAAATCGACATTTCTTGGTGCCATCCATCTTCACCTCCAGGTCTCAGCTTTCGTTCCCACCGGAAGGAGAACCACCCAGCCTAAACAATTCTCTCTGTCTCCCCTCTTCCTACCTTAGGAGTGTGGCAAGCCCCAAACCCTCCCCCCGCCCCCCATAACCAGAAAGAAAGAAAAGGAATATAAACTAAGGCTAAATAAAATGGCTACGCAGATGTCAATTTGGGCTCGACAGGCGGTTTGGGTCCCCAGGCAGACATTGAGGAGGAGTTGCGCCCCCAATCGGCTGGGCTCTTTCACCTTCAAGAGGACTAGAAACACAGGCCCGAGTTCCCTTTGAGGTAAGAGGGCCTGTAAGTTTTATATATAAAAAGAGAAACTTGCTGGATCTGCGGAGGCCTCATTTGCCGTCCGAGCTGCACATAATCCTGCAAAGTGGAGGAAGATCCCCCCCCCCCAAAGCCTGACCTTGGACCCATCCATGATTACACAACATGGTGCCCCCCCCCTCCCCATCACCCCCACTCCGGGGTTCTCGGTCATTTGCACGACCCCTTCCCCATTGGGGAGCTGAGGGCAGTGGAGGCCCCACAGTTTGGGGAGTCTTTGGCTACGTGGCCCAGGCTTTTCCCTGCACGCAGACCGTTCTCCCCAACTTTTCCGTGCTGGTGCAGTCCTTCCTCAAAGGAGGAAGGGTACCCCGTTGTTGGATCCAATACTCCCCCCCCCATCACGAAGGCCTGCTAAATGGGGTGTCGTTGCAATGGTGACTTCGAAATTCCAGCCAATCTATTGCCAGTAATCACAGGTGATTATCATCACCGCCGTATCTTTACCTCTAAGGCCACTTTGTCAACCTTGGCGGCTTCAAGATGTGGGGAGAACTCTGGGGGTTGAAGGGCCCCCCCCATCTTAAAGCCGCCGCAGTTGAGAAAACCTGTTCTAGGCCAACCAACAGTTAGTAATTTCAGTCTGACAGACATTAAAATCATTGCTCCCAAAGTCCATGTGCAAACACGCCTCTTCCTTCCTCTCGATCATGAGGACTAGAAGCTCCATTCACAATAACTATAGGTGAAACCGGAAGAGCCCAAGACCTCTGAACGCAGAGAGGAAGCCCTGCTAAGGCCTCAGCTCTGCCTTCTTTCTCTTCCCCTCCAGCCCTGAATTACTCATTCCCCTTTTCCTTGCCCCCCACCCCGCGCAGCCCCCGCAACTGACCTGCTGGCAGAACTCCTTTATGCTCCGTCCTCCCTCGATGAAGTGCTCGAAAAACTTGTTCTCCCGTTGCAAGTAGCCGGACGTCAGCAGCCGTAGGTAGACGACAAGGTAATCGGAGGTGCTCTGGTCGTTGAAGGAGCCCAACAGCTCCGCCACCGTGGTCTGTTTCTCCACTTGCTCGATCAGGTCCATGAACTGCAGGGATTCGACCGAGAAATTTGAGGGGGGCGGGGGGGGGGGTTCCAACACCTCACCCCTCCCCACCCACCCCCGCAAACTCCCAGGCTTTCTCCTTCCTGCCAAGGGGGTGCCTGCCTCTCACCTGTCCATTTCCTTGGCTTACAGCCATACATTTCGGTTGCTAAGTGGGTTGCTAAGTTCAGGGAGCTTTGCCCCATTTTATACGACCTTCCTTTTACCACAGTCATTAAGTGAAAAGGTTAAGTTAGGAACCCAGTTGGTTAAGTGAACCTTCCTTGCCCGCTGACTCTGCTCCTCAGAAGGCCGCAAAAGGAGGACAGTGTAAAGCCGGGGATGCTGCGACCGTCATGAATACGAAGCGGTTGCCGAGCGCCCCAATTCTGATTCGCATCGGAGACGAGGTGCACAAAGCCTTCAAAGTTGACAAGCTTGGAGACCCCCCCCTCCCCTGGGTTAGACCCCCAACTCCCATCACCCCCGGCCAGGCTGGCCAGCAGTGGCCTTCAAAGGGGCCTCACCGTGTTATGGAAGTCCTCAATGGTGAATTCCGTGAAGCCCTGCGAAACCAGCACCTCTTTGCTTTTCGCCGCCACTTCCTTGAAGCTGAAACGATACACACACACACACACACACACCCCAAAAAGCGTGAATTTCTGCACTGGGCTGGCGCCTTCACATCCGCTGGTCTCGGGGGGATCCCCCTCCCCGCCTTCCCCGTCCCGGGATTCCCCAGCCTACCGCTGCAGCTCCTTGCCGTCCTCCAGTAGAGCCTCCAGGTGGGAAAAGCCAAACGCTCGGTAGAAGCAGTTCCCGTCCGGCCTCGTTTTCCGAATGTAGGAATACTTCTTCAGCAGATCCTGGGCCGGGAGAAGGAAGAGAGAGGGAGGGAGCTCAGCTTCTCCAGGGTTTCCTGCCTAAGCGGGGGGCTGGACTAGAAGACCTCCAAGGCCCCTTACCACTCCTTCTATTCTGTTTCCTATCTCCTCCGTTCTTTCATAATTCTATTCTTTCATAATTTTATTCTTTTGTAATTCTATACTTCCATTATTCTATTCTATTCTATTCTATTCTATTCTATTCTATTCTATTCTATTCTATTCTATTCTGAATTCTATTCTATTCTATTCTAATTATTCTATTCTATAATTATTCTATTCTATCCTTTCATAATTCTATTTTTTCATAATTCTATTCTTTCATAATTCTATACTTCCATTATTCTATTCTATTCTATTCTATTCTATTCTATTCTATTCTATTCTATTCTGTTCTGTTCTGTTCTGTTCTGTTCTGTTCTGTTCTGTTCTGTTCTATTCTATTCTATTCTATCCTTTCGTAATTCTATTCTAATTTTCTATTCTATTCTTCTTTGAGCTCAGGTCTGTCTCAGGGTTCTCTCCAAACTTGGGGATCTCAGCTCCCAGAATCCCCCAACCAGCCACCTTAGGGATAGCTGCCAAGTTTGGAGACAAACTGCCTGAGGAATTCTGGGAGCTGAAGTTCTCGACGCTTAAAACTTGCCAAGTTTGGAGAGACCCCTGATCCACTCCCTCCCCTCTAGTTAAACAACTAACCAAATTGAGGTTCCCCCCCTCCCCCCTCCCCTCCCCGCAGAAGATGCTCCGGCTACTTCCACCCCCAGCCGCCCAGAGTCGGCTCCAGGGGCCTCTCACCTTGATCTTCTGCTGGTATACATGGTCATCGTCCGCATACTCCTTATACAGGACGGTCAACTCCATCCTCTCTGAGACTAAAGGGTTCTGGACAGCAATCTGCAAAGAAAGAGGCTGAATCAACACAGCCGCCCAGTGTGGCAACGAAGGCCGCAGGCACTTGTGAACACGCTCATGGCAAACAGAGATCATCCAAACACACTGCCGGCCGCCACCTACCTGGAGAAACACACCATCGAGAGCAATAACAGCAGCACTTAGACTTGCGTACCGCTTTACGGTGCTGTGCAGCCCTCTCTAAGCGGTTTCACAGAGTCGGCGTATTGCCCCTAACTATCCGGGTCCTTGTAAAAGACGGTTCTCGACTTAACCCCGGAGTGTTTCTTTTGCGGCGGTTGCTAAGTGGATCACCGTGGTTAAGGGACGACCGTGCTTGTTAAATGAACCCAGCGTTCAGCCTTTTTTTTTGGCCAAGAAACAGATGTAAACACAGCAAATGGCTGTAAATTTGGGAGGGGGGGAGAATTGGAACTTCGGCCATGAGTAACTTCTGGGGGCCTGT